TTTTGGCAGCCGAACCACTTTGACCTAAAAGATTTACTTGCAAGTACCCCCTTTTAGTAATTTAACTCCACATTTGCACGTCCACTGCTCTCTCTGTTGTTGGTTAACGGTCGCATTACAAACAGGTAAACAAATTATTCTTTTTAGTAAGTGTTTTATTTTGATGGTTTTTATTTAAAAATTATTTGTGAGATTTCATTAATTACTAGTGTTTCATCAACACACAAACCCCGTTTGGAAACCCTGGTCTAGTTATGAAGAATATTAGATTTCAGATGTAGGACTATAGTGCCACCATCAGGCACATTAGTACAGATTCTGGAATTGGTGTGCTCTAATTGTATTGCTATGTGGAGGTCAAATGTTTTCTGTGAATGTGCAAGACTTGTTATTTATTATCTGCTAAAGGTAAAAGATTAGAAGAATGGTCAAACTATTTGCACTACAAACCAGTGTTTCTAATGACCATAAATTAATGATAACAAACATCAGTTTAGAATGTCAAGCAGCATAAAGGTCTGTCAGCTAAAATAACTGGAATCCTCGCATATTTACAAATGGATGCACCTACGCTTACATTAAAAATGAGGAAATTAATTAGTGTAAGTTAACTTTGTGTGTGTGGGTTTACCTCTAGCTCCTCGATGGTGGTATTTTCTTCATGCACTTTGAGATCATGTTGTGTGTCCAGTTCAGCACCCTCTGCTCCACCGACAATCTCATTCAGATACTGCTGATCGATCTTATCCATGGCAGCCTTCAGATCATTCCTCAAACCCTACACACACACACAGACAGGGTAAGCCTTAAATAGTGCGTCAAATTCAGTATGAGTCCATCATATAGTATACTATATTCTTGAAAGCACATTTCTTGCAGGGAAATTTTGAAAAAATTCCTGGAAAACAAACGTACACTATATGACAAGAGTGTGAAGATGGCGAGAGGAGTGTGGGTTTTACCTTGTTTACTTCTGGTGCTAGAATTTCAATCTTCCGGAGTCTCTGGAAAGCATCGTAATCGGATTCCCCAAACAGACGGATGGGCTCGCCACGTTCCCTCAGACGTCTGATCACCTGCACACAGCCACAAGATTTAGTATTCATCCAAGAACAAAAACAACCTCATCAGGTGAGCTCTGATTGGATGACCCACCTCCTGTCGGGAAAGTGTCATTGGCAGCTTCTCCTCTGTGAGCTCCAGTTCTAACACAGGATTGGATGATGTAGATGGAGGTGCCTCCTCCTCAGTCTTGTCCAGCTTGAAAAAAAAAATCATAATAATAAAAAATAAAATGACTTGTTACATCACCACTGCAAAGCATATAATTGTGAGATCAAGAAGGGCTGCTTGCAAAATAATAATCATAAACTGATAAGATTTTCCAAAATGAAAGACCAAAAACAAATACTTCTCAATATAACCATGCAGCATTTTTAAATCCTCATCTAATCTTATATAAATAGGAGTGCATAGAATCCTCCCAAGATGCAATGAGTCAACAGCAAATAATTGCATATATGAATTGCCATAATGAGCCTGCTGGCCATGCTCTGACATCGAAGCTGTATCTTGACACCGGTTTTAATTTAACACACCATGCAAGCAATATCAAAACCAAATAAGATAGCTTAAAAACATTGAGCATTGCACAAATGAGAGCAGGCAAGGCATCTAGAATTCAAACAACTTGTGCTTTGCTCCTGGGTGGGCATCTCCGTCACACATAAGGGCACCGATTTTACTGTGATCATTATGCGGCTGTGCTGAAAATTCAGATAGTGCTGCCTCCAGCTTTGTGCAACACTGGGAGCAAAGGCAATTAAACACACAAATGTTCTTAAGTCATGCTGAAACCCGGTCAAACATCTGTCTGGCAGCATGCATTCTGTCTGCCTGAGCCCTACCTGTCTCACAGGCTGCTCATTAGAAACCTACACTCACAGAACACACACACACA